AGCATGTGGCATGGTCTGTATCAATTTGTGGGTACATGTACATGCATCAGTGAATGGGTAGCCGCATATGAGGTACATGTACATACATCTGTGAATGGGTAGCCATGTAGACCAGCCGCATATGAGGTAAATGTACATCATACAGATGACTGATGTGGACAATTTTTTGTTACTGCTACAACTGTAAGGATGCTTTCCATTAAAGAAATCAAAACCAAACTTAACTTGCAGAAATTTTTGTTACAAAGTTTTCTATTTCTGATCATTTTCAATGATTGCCAATTGTACCATATCAATTCCAGTTTTAATGGTTCCTGGCACGTCTGTAATAATTCTGTTTAGCAGTGGGAACCAATGTGACTCAGTGAGCAGTGACTCGGGGAAAGCTGATGGGAAACTTACTACATTTTGTGATTCGATTTCCATTCCAAACTTCCTGATAGGTGAAATGTAGAAGGAAATGAGATTGTGCACTGAAGAAATTGCTCATAGTTTGGGTGTGATTTATGTTTAACTTGATTTCTTGCGTTGGAAGTATTGGCCGAAAATCTTCATGCAGGCTACAACCAGGAACAGGTGCGTCGGCAACTGATAATTGTTCCACCAATTGACTCCTGCAATGCACGTGTTTTAATGGTGGCATTATACTGTGCCACCTGTTGACTTATTTGAAATGTTGTAGAGATGAAAATCTGTTCTCTGATAATCAAGTTGTCTTGTGTAGATAACATCTGTGTATATCCAGGGTTCTTTACAGCGGCCACCAGCGGCCACTGCTGTAATGCCCCAGTGAGTTGCCATGAGGCCCTTTAAAAATGGTGCGTTCCTTTAGGCCACGTGGCTGACGTGCCCCTCTTCAATGATCAGTAGGCCTTCGTGTATTTAAAGCTGTATTCAACTTTCAAGTTACCCTTAGTACTAGCATTTCTGTCAACAACTGGCCAGTCGCACTGAGCACTATTTTTTTTATGGACTGGTTTTTGCGTCGCTCTGTAGACAACATGGTACTGTATGGCAACCATATCAACGTCGTTTAGTTTTGTGACTCTATAAACGTGGCACCAGACTACTTTTATACATAGACTGGTTACAAGTACCGACACAGAATTAAACGTTCTACACTGATTGGATTCAGTACATTGCACAATTTTGGGGGTTTTGTGGATGGGAATACGACCCAATCTATTTTTTCCTTGCTATTTTACTGGCATTCACACGGGTACTGGGCATGACAGTGGGCTTTTATTGGATAAATGTTTGTGACCCAGTGACCAACTTGTTTGAATTGCATTGTTTGTGACTAATTACATGTAACTAATTTTTGAAATACAGTGTTGCCTTTATGGCATCATGAAAAGTAAAAAGACACAACACCAAGCATGATAAGTAAACATTTCAAAGTGGCCTTGGTGCCCTTCCAGTTGGCCTTGGTGTCCTTTGATTTTTGGGAGCATTCAAGGCCAAGTGGCCTTGATCCTCTGAAGCTTAAGGTTGAAGCCTGTATATCACATGCTTTTTGTCTCAATGTTAATTGCCTATTGAACTATGTCTATTCCTCGGTGGTTGATTGTATTTTTTATACATTGTTACATTGTTAGGGCTTACAAATGCGTGGCAGTAGTGGACATCAAGGCCAGATGAATCAAGCTGGTGGTATGGGTGGACCAGGAAACCAAGGACTCCTTGCTAATCCAAACATGCAGGCCCTGCAATCTCTGCAAGGACTCGCTGGTGGCAATTCAAATGTTGGCAGGATGGGTCCTGGACAAGGACAGCCTATTCAAACGGTAAGTACATGCACATGTTGCTGTGGCACAGCGATATTTGTTTTTAAAAAAGAAAAAAGCAGAAAGTATCTGCAAGTTCACTCATGTACATGTGCATTGTGCTAGTTAATGCACATGTGTAATGCACTAGTGATACAACCATGGGTTCATGTTACACTTTGTCAGAAGCTGTAGCCCTGGTGTGTTTGAGACTGATCGTAATAATCTACAATGTTTTAACCGTAACCGCCAAGCGTATTGTTTGGCTTACACTACTCAGTACTACAAAATTAAGAAGTCGTCTGAGCCTGAAGGACCTAGCACTTTGAATTACTACTTCTTGCTTGGTTACTTCCATTGTTACTCGTACAGAGAACAATAAAGCCACACATTCATCAAGCCAAAGCACGATATGGTACATTTGTCATATCTATCATATTTTAATGGCTTCAGAGAACAATAAGGTCATGTCCTCTTACAAGCAGCAGGGCTGAATACTACATTTTACTACAACTAGTAATTTGTAGTATTATGTAGGATTAGGATTAATATAAAAATCAGGGATGTGAGCAGCTTTTTAGCTGAGTTAGCTTTTTCATTTAGATGTTAACTCTGAATTTTAGCCTTTTTGTACACCTGGTCTGAACAAAAGTATTGGAACTTTTATTTTAGCATTTTGTCAGCTTTAATTGTAAGTGGCCACTCACACCCCTGAAAAATATTATAATGAAGTCTTCGGCGTTTTCATATACAGTCAGCGTGCAGGGTACACATTAATGGACCGCTTCACAAAATTTTATTTGCAGCGATTCACGGTGTCAAATGTGTCAAGACTTCACAAGTTTCTACTAGGTTTCGGTAGTACCCGTAGAAAAGCGGACAGGAAATTCGTTTGATGGTAGTGATGGACCAAAATGGATTGGTGACTTACAAATTAAAAAATTTACCAAAAAATAACTCACATTTTCGCCAGTTAAAATTTGTAGAATTTGTTTAAATGGCATCCTGACACGTGTTGTTAAACGCAAACTTTTGATGAGTACCTCTGCATTTTTGGTGCTCCTGACTGTTCTGGGATATTTAGGAACAGTTTAAGGGTTTTCGGACTCTTGAAACATTATGCTTTAGAATAATACCAAACTCACCTCTGCAAGTTTTATGATCGTTAATTTTGAGGTCAAAACGTGGCGCAGGGCTGCCAGCCACTTAAACCTCTGTACTCTGCTATTTCGTCAAACAAGTAGGCGTGTTCGAAAGCATTGTTTTATTCGTTCAAATCATATTAATATGATTTGAAATTTATTAACAAGTTAAAGGCTGTACATCGGATACTGATATACTGTAATTTACACTACTTGTAGGCCTGCAGTACATGTACATTGCCGTAGTGTATAACAATGCTTGCATGGTGCACGATTATGATTGGCCCATGCAATGTCTCCATTTATGAATGGAATAAATGTCAACGCGTATAACATGAGGTTCACCGTAAGACAAGGTTTTTTTGGGAGTCCCTTCAAGCTCCTATTAAGCGTGCTCGACTGTATACCGGTATGTACATGTATGTTCAATATTGCCAACTAGGCTTGGGCAGCTCCAGAATGCTCAGAGCTGGTTCCGACTCCAATTAAGAGCCATGATCCCGAGTTAGAACCAGCTCCCAAGGATATAAAGAAAAACAAAAGGTTTAATTAAACACATGAAAAATCTGTTGTCCCATCATGCCGGCGGCACTTATGAACAGCACAACGGACCTGCTTTTGGTCTTTTGTGGGCTTAAGATTATCCACAGTGGGCATTTTTTATTTGATTTTCGCCTCTTCATAGACCAGTCGTGGTTGGAATAAATCTGCAACCTCTAAGTACAACTCAGCACTGCTTCCTCCTTACCATTCAACATCCATGTGTATCCAATCAGAACAATAAGCGATTTGCCATGGCCTAAGTACATGTAACTTTACCCATGTACAAATGTAATCGTGATCACGCCATGGCACTTAATGTATGGACTGGATCCCGTTTACTTATTGAGCGTTTGCCAACGTATCGTGAATGACCATGTATAAGCTTCAAGTTGGCACAAGGCATTTGTCCGCAGTGGGCTCATCATATATGTACGTGTAAATATAAACTCTGAAAGACCACATGTACATTATCTTGTAAGCGGTACCATTGCCTGGGTCCATACATGGCACCGGCTCTACGATATCGCCTATCAAGTGAGAAGTTGAGAACTGGAACCCTCACTGGACCAGCTTGCTCATAGGGTCCGATCCATTTCGTTGACAACGCTACATGCGTTACATGGCTTAGAGGATCTCAGTTTGCGTGCATAACCACAGAGTGGTACATGTCGCCCATGATACCGGTAATAGACTGATTCGTGCGCTGAGTTAAAAGTATGCAATAGACAGCTCTATTGTTACTGAAAACCTGAAGCATATTGGCAGGGGCATACAGTATTCAATGTGGCAGATGATCTATCTTTAGTTGTTAGGCAAAAACAAATGTACACTCAACATGTGTGCTGTGTGGGCAACAATCAATTACTTATGTTCTTTTTCATCAAAGACAAAACTTCAAAAAACTCTCCAGCTTGTACACAAAAACATGGTAAAATATTACACTGAAATTCAAAGGCTAATAATGAAACAATCGAGATAAACTCCAAAAAAAAATGGGAATAAATAGACTCATTGGACTGAAGCAACACTGATGAATGGATCATTACACACATCCTGATCAAATTCATTAATCAGGCAACACAAATAAATTTAATCACTGACTGAATGTTACAGGTATGTTACAGGTATTGGCAATTGGCAAAACTGGCAATTGTGGCTGAGCAATGTTGAGGTCAACATTATTCAGAGTCAAATATCAGACAGCCTGCTGGCCTCTTTACTTGCAAATGGGGTCCTCTTGGCAGTCGGTGCACTGTTGACATCTAAAATCAGCAGACGGTATGCATTGTGGCCTTGCGCGATGAATATGTGAGGATGTGGTAAGAATTCACTGAAGATCAATGGCGAACATGCAATTTACTGCATTCCTTGTGCATAACACTGCCAAATCCTCCCTGCATTCAATTGTGTTCATGTATATTCAGTACAATATTCTGCATGCCAGCTGCCTTGTAGCCACACCCTTAAATTCCATCTTAGGCCAAAGAGATCATGAAGTGGCCAAACAAAACCATTCTTGACCCTGTTCTGAATGCCCTACTACTCAACTTGGAGGCAAGTTAACGGAAACTGCAGTGCGATGCTGACCATCGTTCAAATATGTACACCTTTTCACACTCAGGCATTGTACATGTTTGTACATGTATAGTACATTTAGTTGTTACGACATGCCAGCGTGGTAGGTCAGCCTGAGTGGAGACTCAGATTTGACGTTAGAGTTGTCACTCACAGGCACAGTAGGCTTGCCTGAGCGGTGAGTTGGATTCATATTTGATGTTTGGAGTTGGCTATTTGAAGGTGGAACTGCCGCTGATGGGTACCTGGTCCTTCACAAAAGCAGAGCTGCTGATTCCAATTTCTCTTTGGAACTGTGGTTCCTCTTGGAACCAGGAGTGTTGCCCAAGCCTGCTGCCAACAGTTGACATTTTACAAAAATGAGTTATCAATGGATACTGGTAATCCTCCAGTTATCGTAGCGTCCATTACACGCTAATGTTGAATGGTTCCTTTATCTTATTAGCAAACACTCTGTATTAAGGATATGTTCATAAACTTTGCAGCTATCATTTTTCAAACCTTTTAACAAATAATTTTCTCTGGCAGTCCAAATGGCTGTTTATTACCACAAATCCTGTTCTTGTGGTGAGAGGGGATTTGTCAATTTTTCCCTAACAACAACCAGCTGTCTTTCATTTTCCCCTTCAGCCACAACCGCCTTGTGCCAGCTATGCCATGCACAGACAGGTACATGCCAGACCTGATTTGTGTATTAGTCATTTTCCTGTTACGGATTGCTTGAAATGAAAATATACCTTTTTTAATTTGTTTCCAGTGCTTCTTTCTAAGACAGGTTCTGATTTGAAAGCTAAAGTGTAAACTTCTTGTATAAATACTGTTCTCAGAAATTCTCCAGTAAAGGAATATTGGCCAGATTTCCACTTCGCTCGTTGACGTGTGAGATTGTGAAAAATCACAGGGGCCAAAAAATCCACAGAAAATTCACAGGACAGTGCATTACTCACTGTGTGTGATTCCAAGTACTTATTTCATACTCGGCAGTCAAAGACTTCTGCATTTAAAGTGTGATGAATATAAATTTATTTGCAAGTCTCCCTTTTTAAAAAGAAACAATTGTGGAAAACTGAATATATATTTTAGGTGTGAAATCTCCAATTGTTAGCTGATTTCTGCTTTTCGTTGAGTATGCCAAATTTCATTTTCCGCCCTTTTTGCTTCAAACCAGCTAGATTTTCCTTGTTTTTCTTCCTTTTTCAAGTGCAGATTTTACATGCTTTATGGGCATCGTTTTGTACGAAATTTCCGATATTTTTTAAACATAAACTCATTAAAATGTCAGTGCAACGCAAGTGCATAATTGTCCAAAGAGGCTCTGACTCAGATACAATCAGTTTGACAAGACTGATCTTCAAGTAACAAATCCATGGAAATGGACGTGGATGGAGTACATGTCACTGCAATTAACGTTCTGTGACACAATCTGGGCCCTGCAAATCCAAAAGCCTGGAGCATGCATTCTTTGAATCGAAGAAATGAAATGTGAAAAACTTGGTCAAATCAGGTGGAAAGGGGCCAACTCGCACTAAAACCTCGATTCTTACAATTTTGGAAAGATATTGCTTGTTTATTTTAGCCTTAAGGAAGAAAACAGTTACATTCGAAATATGCATAAATTGCATATTAAAAAAAAAAGGCCAGTGGTTGTACCACAAAGCATCTACATTTCAAAATTTTCCGGGCCCTGAAGTGGGCCCCGGACCTTGCACCACATATATATGCTTCATGATTGCAGTATCAGTTGTTGTCAAGTATTCTTTT